ACGTAGTAGTGTGGCTGTGGCCTCGGAGTGAATATGATCCACTTCTCATGTGGCCTAAGCATGACCAACAAAATGCACATGAAGTACCAGAGTTTCCATTCGCTTTCTGCGGTGTCAAAGTCAGCCCACCTTAATCAGCAAGACGCAGGAACTCAGCTTGGGTTCTGCTTGCAGACTTTGGCAAGTACTGCTATAACCCATCACATCTGTCTTTTAATCTTTAACTGAAAAATGCTTCCACAAAATACATTTTAAAAAACACATTACGAGCTGTTGACTGTGACATGTTTTTATAGGGTTTGACCATATGCAACAAAGCTTTGCAGTTTGCCTCAGTAATTTACACTCTAGTCCTCTTGCCAGTGTTATTAGCACAAACATAATCATGACAGCGATGAAGCTAGAGAGGCTGTAATATTGGCCCATTAACACCGTAGCTCCTTGCCCCTCCATGTTTCTTTTACATCTTCACGAGGAACATTTCTTACTATTGTTGTCGGGTTTATCTCAACATTAATATAGGACGTCTCAACAGAGATATTGCTGGCTAACATCGAACTATCGCACTGTAATTGTAGTTTAAAGAAACATCTCGAAAATACATTTTTAAGAAAAATCCCTGAGGCTCGACCGGGGGGGGGGGGGTCAATTTAGGCCATGCTTGCAATGCAGTAGTGTAATCCCTGCTGGGGATTACCTGTAACAACAGTCTCATGTATGGAGTCACACAGGTTGAAAGCACATATACCTGCAGCACCCTGTGTTTAAGGGGTTAAGATGATAACCGCTAACCACTTCCCCGGTTAGAGTCCAGCTGGGGGGCCTTTGCTGACTCTCTCTCTCTCTCTCTCTCTCTCTCTCTCCCCCCCCCACTGGCGCCATCAAAAAGCCTAAAAAAAAAAACTATTTAGAAAGAAATTGTTCATACAAGGGTGCACAGGTCTTCTGGATGAGGGGGGTAATAAGTGTGTGTGTGAATGTGTATTCAAATGTAACTTCTCTGCTTACTTGAGTCCAAGTCAGTATGTGTGTGTGTTCCAGAAGAGGAGGGCTGCACCGGTCTACACCCCTCTCTTACAACCAACCCCAAAGCATTTTGACAATCATCCACTGTGGCCCTTCACAAAAATCAACATCACCTGTGACCCATGGCCTCGACTGGACCACTCAACAGCAGGGCCTCCTGCAGGGGGGGGCTCTGCGGGGCTCTGTTTGTCATGCTAATCAGCTGGCCTAACCTCAACGACCCAGACATCTGCTGGCCTGCGTGTGTCAAGCCCCACATTCAATTTGTTCCTCCGATACAAAAAGCAGATAAGACCCTTGAGGGCTGGGAAGAATGTCCGTGTGTGTGTGTGTGTGTGTGTGTGTCCTTGCTGTTGATGAGTGAAAGGGAAAAATCCTTTTATTTCTATGCATGTACAAGAGCGATAATTACCAGCAGAGAAGGGAGCTAAAGTGTATGTTCGTGTGTTCGATGCTGTGCTCATTCTTTCTTCTGTGTGTGTGCGTGCTTCAATGTCTAATACCCCCCACTGACAAACACACAGACAGCCAGGCTTGTTGCTCACACACACACACGCGTTTGTGAGTGCGTGTGTGTGTGCGCAGCGGGGCGACAGAGAAGGGGTGGGGGGAGTTTGTTTAATGGGCGAGACAGGGGACCATGGGGATTAAGCTGCCCCCAGCTGGAGGCTTTAGAGGAAAGGCTGGGGGCTGTCCTGTTAATTCAAGTGGGCTTAATAATGCCTGTGCACCCTCTGCCCCTGACCCTCCCACCACTACATCAGATCTGGGAGGAAACGCATGATAAAGGGAGACAAGCGGGAGGAGGAGGAGGGAGTGTGTCTGCGTGTACAACCTGTGGCCATCTCTACAGTGGAGTAACGGGCTCCGGGGACTCCAGAGATTTTTGCCTCCATATTACTTGCTCTACTCTCCGGCTTTTGGCACCAGAGTCTTTCTGTTGCTCCACTTTCACGCCACAGCCAGCTTTGTTGGAGCTGCATTAGGATTAATCAACACCCAAACAATATGGCAAATGCTATCAACTGGGTCAGGCACTGTGCCGCTATCAAATGAGGCTTTTTCCTATTAAACCAATGAACTGTGCCCGTAACCGGTGACAGTGGATTAAAATGCACCCATTGACTTAAAAGGCACACGAATCCTTCTTAAAAACACGGCCTTCTTTGTGTCTAAACGGGACGAATATCTGACATAAACGTAAAACTGAAATTCATCGCTTATCGTTTTTGCTTTCCAATATTAAAAAATAAATCCTGGCAAACCTATAAAATAAGTGAGCACTTCCACGAGGCATGACTATTAAGCTGGAGCACACAATATGTACCCAATACAACAAACAAAATGTCAGCCCGAGGAAGATGGTGGTGAACCCGGAATCTCTGGAAAGAAAGCCGCTACAATGCAAATGGAGAAAAATGACGTGACCCGGTGTTTAGACAGAAACATCTTCCTCTTATTCCACATGAATCAGATAAAAGCCTTAAGGCATTTCACATAGTTTATAGAAACTAAATACGGCAAATTGCCTTAAGTGGCCAGGGAAAGGCAACATCTTCTGTGATTCACACAGGAAACGTCGTAACATTATTTTAGTGCAATGTGACCTCACATCACCACTACGGCTTCCTCTGCTGCTTCAAATTAGACGCATCACACATGAGCGGATATATATATAGAACTTTAACACTAATGTTACTACAGAGAGAACAAAGGAAAATAGAGGAAAAGCAGATTCTGTGCTGACTGAGTCCGTTTGAGAGATCCATCATCTGTTATTATGAGGCAGTGCCGTTATTCTCTCATCCTCCAGCTCCTTATCTGTGACACTCGTATCTATACGAGTGTCACACATTCTTCCCATCCTCGGCCCCCTGTGACAGCAGCAGCAGCTGAGAAGGAAGAGGAATTGAAGACGGGTGTGTGTGGTGGGGTGGTTTAATACACAGGTGTATATGTGGAGGGTTGGAAATGGCTTGTTGTAGCAGGTTGAGACTAAAGCAGCTGCAGAACGAGTGAGCAGACATCCTAAATTCCCCAAAACCCCATTTTTAATCCTGTGTGTTAGGTCTTAATACTCCAATCAAGCAGCATAAGGGCACTCAATTGGATTAGAAAAATAACCTCCTATCAGACAGGCAAGGCAGGAGTGGCCCAGCTTTTCTCACCTCGGACTCAGTTCTCACCCCATCAGGTGACTGCTCCACCACCTCACCCAGAGGAAGGAGGTGAAACATGGGCTCTAAAGTGGAATCTCACTCCGGTAATTCCCTGAAATTAAAGTATGCGGCTTCATCTCTGCCACTTATTGCTCATTTACTTAGGCGTGTCAACTAGCCAGCTTTCTTGTAAGAAAGCATTGTATGAATAATAAACAACAATAACAACATTTATCCACAGCTGGTTAAGACTAAACTTCCCTTTTCGCCACTAAAAATAATTTCTTCTTCTGCAAAGCATTACCAAACCTTCCAATTGAATTTCGCCCCATTTTTTCCCACCTGCTTTCCCACAATTCGTTGAACTTTGCGTCACACCGCACGCAGCCAGTGTGTAGAATACATTTCAAATACTGTGACATGGACTAAGACACAACCAACAAAAAAAAATCTATTCTTACTGTTCAAAGTATGTAACCGGCTGCCAACAAGAAATGGTCACTGTGGTGAGCCGTGGTAAGATTAAATTTAATATAGTGACAGATATTTTTGTTGAGAACACAGCCCAAACTGTAGTTTTTTTTAGATCATCAGTTTCAGAACCCTTAGGTTGAGCTCGGTAGGACGTAGAGCGTATACAGGATTTCACTCATCTGACAAGCCAGGCCAGAGGTTTCCCAAATCCTCACATTCTGCACCCGAGTCTGGGAACACACATCCTGGATGGCATCAGAGGCAGTGCCACAATCGGGCTGCCTGCCACCCACCCACACACCCACACACCCACACACACACACAGACCGCCAAAGGGCAAAGCCATTCAAGTCACAAAAGACATTCAGGTTCTAGCTTCGGCAAACAACCCTTCCGCTTCGAGCAGTAAAAAGTACCAGTGGCGGTGACAAGACGTTGCCTGGGAGAAGCAGAGGGCACAGTCTTCTTCTCGCTGTTGTGTTAACCTGAGCCGGACCGACGCAAATACCTTTTTGTTATGATTTTGCCCTTGCGAGGAAGGGAAAAGGTGAAATGGCAGCCAAGACCAGGAGGTGGAAATACAGGTTATATCATCATATTTCTGTTTCAGAGAAGTTTCTTGTTGCACCAAAAGAAGCCAATTGAGTTTGACCAGAAAACATCATTACTAACAGTGACACCAGTGTGCCGGTCACTTAACATAAATGTTTGACCAATGGGCTGAGGCCTCATCACTGATACATATACATGCCCTGGACTTAGTTTCTGTTACCATGGAAACTTGAGATTTAGGGGAATTGAGGAGATGTCATAGAAACACCGACCTGCACATAATAGTGTACAGTGTTTTTTTTTGAGTGGTTCAGTAACCATATGACAGTGACAACATAATTTATATATCTTTGTTATAAAATATATATCTGGCATATTTTAGAGACTGCAGCCCATTGAAAATGCACTGACACGAGGGTGTGAAAATCACACATAGCTGTGAAATATGACAGCATTCATTAGAGTTGTTTGATTTTGGAGGACATACCATCATCTGGAGAAAAAAAAAGTTTAACAGTTTAAATCATAAATACAAAAAGGGGGGGGGGTTCTCCCATCGTGTGTCTGTAATCCCACAACCACACATCTTCTGCAGAACTTACCAGAACTAAACACTGCAGTTATAAAATAACAGTTTCTTCTAAAACCTCTAATTAAATTACGACATGGTCCTAAACAAACAAGCATGCATAATTCCCCTACCTAGCTAACCTGCCTTTAAATCAGTTGGTGGGTTACCTAAATTCTGGAGGAAAAATAAAATAAAATGTCAAAATAAAAACCACTTACTGAGTGTCTTGATTGTGGAAACATCATGTCAATTCCTTGTTTGTTGCTTTCCTTCCTTAACACGATCAACTGAGTGCCCCGTGTTTATATGTTTCCTTTGTCCAAAGCTAGCCCAGCCGTGCACAGTCCAGCGTTAGCAGGACGACTAGCTAACGGTAGCTAGCGACCGAATATAAGTGATGCACTTTGAGGTAAAGGAGTCGGTGTCTTGTCTGGGTGATGGTAGACCTCGTACCTGTGTCCAGACCCCCGTATTTACTGCGTCTGTTGAACAGGAATCCACCACAACCAGTGCTGGTTCCTCGCTTGGCTAAAGCTAATGGCTAATTCTTCCAAAGCTGTCAGTCAAAATGATCCATCGCAGTTGCAAGAAGCCTTTCCGCCTCAACGCACGAGCGGCGGCAGCGATGCGCGAGCTCAACGCATATAAATTAAAAAAAAACAAAAAAAACGTTACGCACACACGGTGGTGTTTGGATTTAGCGGAGGGGGGGGGGGGGGTAATGGTTTCCTCCGTCGCTTTGTGGTGGTGGTGCTCCTTAATGAAAGCTTTCAGGTCGCTTGCTTCACACAGCCGCGATTACGCAGATGAAAAAAAAGTAGGTGGAAAAAAAAAACGGTCTAATTCTCAGAAATAACAAAATGTCTGCGGGTTCGTTGTAAGTTGAAAGCTCGTTCCGTCCAACGGCTACACATAAGTCGCGAGTGAAAAAGAAAGACGCTCAGACGGTTAAATAAACTTCAAATATAAGCTGTTCGGGCTTCAGTTTAAACTCTGAACGTTTATCGGAGGGAGTCGCGGAAGAAACAGCGGGTTTGTCAGCGGTGGTGAAGCTAGAAAGTCAGTCCGTTCTCCCGGAGCTTGGAGGCGTAGAAGCTGAACGCCCCACACAGAAACACAGCGGATAGATCAGCGGTGACGCAAAGATCTACACGCCACAGATCTAACCTCGTCGGCCGGCTGATGTCTGGGCAACTAGCGCCCCGCGTGGACAGGTCGCCACACAGCAGCCTCCACGGTCACTGGAGGCTGTTGTGTGTTTATCACGGATGTCTGAAGAAGTTTGTATCATTGTACTATGAATGAATAATTAATAAATGTTTTCATCGTATATGGCTGTAAATATTGCATTATTTTAAGTTTGCAGGATTAATCAACATCTATATTTGAGTCATATCCTTAAACTCTGTAAAATGTTTTATTTTTAAAAATCCACTATATCTTTACACAGCAAATAGTTGTTTGCTGCTAATCCTGTATTCATTTATTTTTTTGGTTAATGAAGTTGCTTCAAAATATTTTCCAATAACTAATAATTTATTCTCTCTACTCCTGGAACTTGAGTATTGTTTTCTGTCAGTGATGAAAACTTGATCACATTAATATACAAGCAGGTAGAGTTCACTGTCAGTCACAACATTAGCCGCTACATGGATCCAAACCAAGAAGTTGTGCACATTTCAGTCCATTTAATACAAATTAAACATGTACAGTTTATATTACAGCTGTCAATTAACCATTGTTCAAAGCATGCTGTAGTTTGTCAGATGTTTTCCCCCTTTGCAGATGTTAAATACTACATTTAAAAGGAGCCACCGACTTTAATGCCACAAAAAAGGTATAAAAACTAACTTGTGGAGATCCGACTATGAACATCACGTTTTTTGTGTTGTTTTTTTTGGTCAAAGTTAGTGATTGTTGCATGATAATTGTCTTAATTTTAACTTTGTACTGAAGAGAATGGAAAACAGCTTAGTGGAAGGTACGGGAAGTTATGTAAAGTACACAACTTGTAGTATTTGACATAATTTGTATGGTTCTTCACTTGCAATATGTTAAAAAAAAAAAAAAAACTTAAAAACTCACTCCAAAGGAAATGTACAAGGATGCAATAAGAGAGTATAGGAACATATTTTATTCCAATTTAAAACATTTAAAGGAGAAGGCTATGAAAATCATTTTCATGTTTGAATGAGGTTCAGGCAACAGTGGTTGAAATGAAACATACAAAAGAGAAATATGGCTAAAATACTGTAAATCAATAACTATTAGGACCCTTTTCATGAGGGTGTTGCATGAATACAGTATCTCACCCACCCGCTCCCCAACCTGACAAACATGCAATTAAAATGACATTTATCTTTAAAAACAGCAGTTCATCAATAATCTTAAATATAGAATAAAATTGTCCTTTTTTTTTTTTTTTTTAGTTAATTAATCACATACTTAAGTGTTTATTTCTTTTAAAAACTGGACCATGAAATTCACAGGCCCTCTGATTTTTCACAACATTGGCACTTTGTTAAGAGTCTGGCTTTACAAAGAAAGGGGATTGGCACACTCATTGTACATCATTTACATTTGGTATACTTTAAAAAAAAAAAGAAAAAAAAAAAAAAAAAAATACATTACTTTCAATTGTACACCACTACACAAAGTTTATTTTAACTCTTTTAAAAAAAGTCTGTCATCTTAAGTGGTCCTAAATACACGTGTTAAGGTGTGTCAACCTTACAAAAGAAACCAAATAAAAGATGCAAAGAGAGCTTTTAATATCACCGTATGTCCATCCCTCTAATCAGAATAGATCTCAAGCATAAGCAATAGCCATTAAAAGTGCACACACACACACACACACACACACACACACACACGCACACACACCTCAAAGAGTACCAACGAGCGCGCTTGAACAGACATGTAAGTTGCATGAATGCAGGCCCATCGCAGTGGTGCAGTTTCAGTGCCTTCGACCCAAAGAGAGAACACACAGTCCAATCAAGTAAGAGGGAAAAGAAGAAGAGAGCGGAGAATGGCGGACATGTAAACACACAGCATATTCACTCACTCACTCAATTATAACCACCAAAATATTATAATGGACATTTCAGTACCTTCACTTGGCAAGTGTTTCAATAAATACGTTAATACTGAGGCTTAACACACAAGCTTCATTAGGAGGGGAAGAAGAGTGGATTGATAAAAAGGTTTTACCACAGAGCTCTGGGTCAGGTTATGACAAATTATTAATTTTTCATAGCTTTTTTCTGTGGCCGATTGATTTCGTTTGGCACAGTGTTTTGTACTGGATTGTCGTACAAACCCTCTCCACAATGCATTCTACGCAAAACAAAGCAAAGACGGTACAAATCAATGGAAACGGAAACGACCTCAGCTCTGCTGGTGGCTCTCATTACTGGTGGTGGAACCAACCATGTGACCTTTTTCCTGTGTTGGTCCTGCGGCTGTGAGGGGCTAACCGGACAAGGCATGAAGTGCACAAATAGTCAGCGTGTGAAATCTGATACAAAGTTTTTAAAAGAGTACAACCTCATGCCAAGACACCGGTCCCTGTAGTGGTCACCTTCATTTTGTTAAGCATCCTCATAGCGGTCCATTCGAGTCCAATGTCTCATCTACAACACAAAGTGTAAAAAAATTTTTTTTTAAAAAAAGGGACCCCACAGTTCGGGGGAATGGAGTGTGCTTCCTGAAAGCCAAGCTGAGGGTTTTAAAAACACACACAGACATCACCGTGTTATCCCAGCAGTAAAGCAGAACACAAAACTTCATTTCCAAGCTCAGTTACAGTTTGACAGCTAGTTTATTCATCCGCATATCAAAATACACAAGCTCTTTATTTCAAACTGAAAAGTGTGCTGAATTGTGACTTCTGTTAGCGAGTGTGTGAGACAAAGCGTCGCCCTATAAACGGGACAAACTGGTCAAGAAAAAAAAGGCCTTTAAATGTTTACTGAAGCACCAAAGATTAACCCACGACCAACACAACGAGATCTCCGCAGGAATAAGTTGACTCGCCAAAGTCGGAGCGTCGCAACATCTCCGATGTTGTCTCAACTCGTGGAAAATGATGGCACTTAGCATAAATATACACATGTCCCTTCTTCATTAAGTGTCTCAGGATGCACACAGTCTCACGATAATGGCTTCATCATCAACACAATGTACACGTTTATACTAAAGATGTGACGATTACTCACACTGGGTACATGTGAATACAACCAAGGCAAAGTAATACAAAGGGTGGGGGAATTCCCCCTAAAATTTAGCAGATCATACTGCTTTTCTACATTTGTAAACCTTTTTGGCAAACTTTTTAAGATACACAGAGGGAGTACGGCCGGATCTTTGATGTTTAATCTGACCCTTCCAGCTCTTTCAAATGTGCACAAAAAGGTCAAAATGTCCCGAGAACTTCCCCTTCTTCTCACTCCAAACACAGCCAAATGCCAAAGTCAAACATGGAAACACTACCAATGAGAAGAGAGAAGCCAAATATGCATAACCACATAGTGGAAAATATGATAAAGCCAAGAAGATCAGCATATATAATTCATGACAGTAAGAGGACGGTTAGTTTAGCGATAGCCAGGACACTAAAGATGTGCTATTGCACCTTGGGAAACCCCGCTTCTTCTGACATTAGCCAGTCTCCTCCTCCAAAGGCAAAAAGATGTTGAACAAAGAGCCAAACAGCCACCATGTCATGTAGGCATCTGTGGACCGCTGCATTCCTCCCTCACTGAACCTGCGGCCATCACCCTCAACAGGAAGTCACCACACTCGTTCATTCATTGCTCCCCCCCCTCCCTCGTGAATTAATTGCACCTTTTGCTCTATGCCGTTCATAGAGTCGTGTCCTTTCTACCAAAGCTGCTAGTAGCCCTTGTGATGAAAACGTTATGAAAACTTACCTGAATTACATTGTGAAGACAGAAAATAGCCACCTATCAACATTCAGCTTAATGGAATATTCAAACAACCACCAGGCAAGAGACACGATATGGGATTGGTACCAATATCCAACACATATCCTTCAAAATTACAAAAAAATAAAATTAAAAATGCAAGCATCCTTGAACGGTAAATATTCAACCACTACGTTTTTTTTTTGTCTGATTTCATTTTCCTATTTGCATAAAGCACAAACCCCATTGTCAAACATTTTAAAACAGAATTTGCGACAACTAAATACATGAAGTATCATTAGAAAGATAGAACACTTGTCCGTAAAATTGTTTTGATATTTTCACAGCAGTATAAAATCTCCTCCCGTCTCCTCAGTTGGAAAAACGTTTGAGCTGAAACTAGGGAGGAAGTCTCATTTACTGTATCAACAATACTCCGATCCGTTTGATAAATTAGAAAAACAAAAAAAAGTATTTACTGTCTCGCTATGCATTACAGTTTATCAAATGTTGGCCCAATAATATGGCAAAACAAAGTGGATTACAGAGAGAAGCCATATGGATGATCAAGACCAACTAACTCGCAGCGCAAAACCTTTATCTACAAACCGACTATTGCACTGTACTGATCGGGCATCGTCATTCGCACGTCGTGCACAGGAAGATTATTCTCACCATCAAAGGGAACAGAGAAAATAAAACACAGTACTAATTAATACGCGTGTGATTCAGACACAGTCAACACGGGAAGAAAAAAAAAATGCCACACGAAGTGAGTTGTTATGCCATCAACATCTGAAGGATCCACTTAATCACTGAAGCGCTTCATTTTTTGGCAATACCTGTTTCCAAATACATGTTAGTATCTGAACACTGAAGGGATGAACAGGATACTGGCTAGCTAATTATATTTACAGAAACAAAAAGTAGGTGGTTTTAAATTTGGCAATGTGATACAAAATGACGAGTGTTGATAAACAGAATGTAAATAATCGGTAGTGTCGTCTCTCAATTCTTAGTCTCGCCGTCTGTGTTAACGCTTGTAAAAAGGAGCATTGCATTCCTTTGAGTAGTCATCTTCAATTCAATTGCAATTGGAGATCAAAAGCAGTAATAATATAACCGAGAAGTTAACATAGCAGAAAATATTTAAAGTCGACGGAGAGCATGTAGTCGTCTCCGTCTAGCCCTCACTCGGTGTGAGCAGCATGAAAACATTATTTACATTCAACAGAGCTGCTGCGCTCTGATTCGGGGCAAAGAAAAAAATCAAATACACAAATCAATACCCAGGGGAACCAAGTACCTCACTGCAACCCCAGCACGGCTTGATAATGTATTCCTATCATCATAATTAGTTACTCCTTTAGCAGAGGAACAGAGTCCTGGTTCTGCAGCCTGGCCTCGTGCCCTCCTGCTGTAGTGTGTAGCATGCATGGGTTAAATAAGAAGAAGGGGAGAGAGCCCTTTGTCTTTCGAAGCCTCGTCTACCCACCTCCAACACACAAGCACTGGTGATAATGTAGTGTAAAGAAAGAAAACATGTGAGCAGGGCCCAGACCAACAAGAGAGGAGAGGGGGGGGTGGGACAAATGTAGGGAGCGTTATATTTGTGTTTGTACAAGAGGAGCAATTATCAGAACCACAAAGAAGATTACCAGTCTTCGAAAATAAATGGGCAAACCAACAACAAAGGAGCTCAGTGGACAGTGGGGACAGATCATGGATTAGGTTGGTCTGGTAGAGAACTCTTTGAGCAGCAGTGTGTTTCATGCAATTGTGTGTGCTTCTAGAAGTGGACTCTGCATTGTGTGTGTGTGTGTGTGTGTGTGTGTGTGTGTGTGTGTGTGTGTGTGGGGCTGCAGGTCTTGCTCTCTCTCTCTCTCTCTCCCTCTCCCTCTCTTTCCGTTTCTCTTTTCACACCAGGTTGTACTCTTTGAGGTTGAGCTGCAGGATGGTGTCTTTGACGGCGGCAAAGACGAAGCGGATGTTCTCCGTGTCGGTGGCGCATGTGAAATGGGAGTAGATGATCTTGTCACTGTCTGGGTTCAAGTCCACAAACATCTTCAAGATGAACTCCCGACCTGCTTGGGCGTCCCTCTGGGGGCCTGGAAGAAGAACAGACCGTTATATATTTAGCCGTTATTGAGCATCACATTAGCATAATTCAACCTTTATTGTTTTTTTTGTGTCATTTATCCGTATTATTTAAAATATCAGCATCCCAACAATTAAACAGAACACAAAAACATTGAACTAGCCTGTTCAGTCATACATCAGTTTGCGTTGTAGTACAGCATCATGACCATGGGGTGTCACTCTACAATCAAAAATATAAGTGAAAGGTTCCTGCCTATGTGTGCAAATAATGACATGGACACTTTTGGGATACAGACACTTCCACTGTTAAGATAAGAAGCAGCCAGTTAGATAATGGTACAGGGCGTGTGTGTTTTTAATGGTACGGGGCCTTTACAAACTGCTAAAAGTACACTGAAAATAAAAATACAGCTTGAGCTCGACTTCTCCCCTGTATGGATAATTCATTAAGTTAATCCTTGAATATACGTCACTGCTGAGGCTAACATGGCATGGTCCTACACTAAACAGCCACGCAGGGATAGGCAGACTATATAACATGTATGTTGTCGTTAAGATGTCGAGTTCAGGGATAAAAAAAAAAAAAAAAAAGGTAAAATTACCATCAAACTCTGGGAAGTAGTCAACCAGGTGAGAATACATGATCTTCTCCTCCAGCAGGTCCTTCTTGTTGAGGAAGAGGATGACGGAGGAGTTTTGGAACCACGGATACGTGATGATGGTCCTGAACAGAGCTTTACTCTCCTCCATCCGATTCTAACGAGGCAGAAGGAGAAAGCAGGAAAACGAGGGCGAGGTTAGGATGCATCAACGATACGAGCCTTCTCAAATTCGCTACTTAAATTGTATCAATTCTGGCCTAATGCACAGACGCTACGGTTAATATCAATTTCACATGGTACACATCGGACTTTAAGGATTATCTCTAAAGGTTTTTGGGTTAACATTCAGTTAGCAGCCCCAACAATGAACAGACCTTTGTGCGTCTCTGAAACGCTGCCAAAGCAGCGCTGAAAGGTGCCAGACTTCAATAATGCGAATGTCTGAATGTGAGAAAGGTTTTTTTAGCTTTATCTATCTCTACTTTGTTTGCCGTTTACCTTTATCTACATTTGATGAAACTTTGAAGCTGAACAGCGCCAATAGCAATGACCAATGGAACCGAAACTTTGTCACTGGACTTCTGCCATAACAAGACTTCATTTAAAAATAAAAACACTACCAGCGACAATAAAAATGAAGCCAAATGAAACTAACGTTTAGTTTGTCTTCAAAGACAAATACATGAAGAAACACTTCACAGGAAACATTTAAGTGTATATATTTTTTTACTTTCACTTATTATGATTGCTAACATTAGTAGCACAGTTTAGCTGTTAGCGACGCAAATACCCTCAAAAAAAGACATTGTTGGGTTTGTGTTTGTACTAAAAATCCTTGGCTTATTAATCGTGATGGACTGTAGCTGGATGACATCAGTTGTAATGTAGCATAGACAGAGAATACAGGATATAGCAGTAATGGATGAGATGCAGCCAGGGAACACTCAGGATTGTCAAAACAACCCAAAAAATGGCTCAAGACTTTCCCAGTTATGTTAAGTCATCCAGGCACGTTCCAAACAGAAGACTCACTCCTCCAAAGAAAACTGTCCAGCAAACACAGAAAGCGGAGCAAGTGGAGTTGGGAACCTACTCACGTAAACTACTAAAAGCTTAGAGACGCTGTCAAACATGACTCGTCTTCCTCTTCCTGAGCTAAACTCACTCCCCTTCAGTTTAGTCTTGGCGAGACATAACGGGATCCGGGCCAGACTCGACCCGATGAAATCAAAGATGTTTGAAAACAATGTTGTCAGGCTCCGGCTGGTCTGAAGGGTCAAAGTCTCGGTGTCGAGCCCGTCAACACGACAGGATAATCTCTGCAGACCGTGATGCCCTAATGCTGCCCGGCCTCGTCTCGGCCGTCAACCATTTAGAAACGGAGCTCAGTAACTAAATCTAAATTGTCCAGCGGGGCCTACCACCTGCGGCCATACGACATATTACAAGCAGGAAGAAGCAAATAAATGGCAACCTGCAGAAATGTCCTTGTGCGTACACAATAAAGGCTCCACACATGAGCAGGCCCGGTGGAGATAAAGTACAGTATGTGTGCATTAACTAACTCATGCCAGAGTGGACAAACATTGACACGGTCGACCATGAAGCTGCTGTGACGTGCCGCACATGTAGCGAGTCAAGCTGGCAGCTGGGCCTGGATTATGAAACCCATTCGTCATGTGAGCGGAGGACGGTTTCACGAAACAGGATTCAGGGTCATCGAGGTGACGTCAGGGTTAACTCTGGGTTTTCAGTTCCACGACGGAGGTTCACTTCTTACCGGGTTAGATTATCTCCAACATAAACTGCTCCGGAGTGATATCATAGATCTGTTAAACATTCACACAGTAGGCGATTTCTTGTTCAGACTGTTATTTTCAGCCGGAATTACGAGTTTAACTTCTACGTATTTGTCCGATCTCATAGTTTTCTCTTTATTTGTAAAAAGCGCCGCTCTGCTGGCAGCAGACTTGTCCATGTTTGTGATCGGTCAAATGCTGCAAACAACGCCCCTCTTACGTGAACACAGCCAGATTGGAATAACCTGGGTTGAATTTACCGAGTTGATAACCAGCTTCGTGGGGCCGCTTAGCGGGACCGTGGTTGTTAGGGTCGGTGAAGCCAGATAACGTAAAGATACCATGGGTATGTTGAGCTGGCTCTGTGAAACAGGCCTCTGGTCAGAGAAAGGGTTTGTTGTCAGGAGAGGAGCAGAGGGTCACATGAGCTTTATTCGGGATAATTCTATCTGGACAGTCAAAGAGGACAGAGCCTACGACATTTACGAACTACATATCCGTGGAGTATACTGAGAGAGAGACCAAGCTGTGAACATAGGAAGTTGATATGGTGAACACATGTTGGCATGTTTACACATCCAGCAGACACAGAGCAACAGTGTCTGCTCCCATTCAGTGAGAAAATGTTGTGCATGCACTCAACCGTTCAGAGATCACAACTATTTCTGCGTCGCCGTCTCACCTCGTTGTCCGACTCCACCAGGACTTGGTCGTACTCGCTGAGCGCCACCAGAAACATGATGGAGGTGACGTTCTCAAAGCAGTGGATCCACTTCCTCCTCTCTGACCTCTGACCCCCCACGTCCACCATCCTGAACAGAACAGATGAGATGGAGGGCCGCCAAACGGGGGGGGGGAAGAATCGCATAAAAGAGAAGAAATGAGAATTAGAATTAAATCTATCACATTAGCTCAAAGATTGAACTTTTGTTGAACCCTAAAGCCACCAGCCAAAAGAGCGGAGTCACTTCAAGACAGGGTTATGATATTCAATTAGAAAATGTATCAGTGCAAAGAGGCATTCGTTTTGTATAGTGTGTCCTAAATATTTAATTTCCACTAAGCTTTGCATCTAGTGGTGGCCAATCCATACATTTCAAAAGGCAGTGTGGTCTCACTATTGCTTCTACGTTAACACATAACTTATATATAACAAGCCGAGCGTAGCTCAAGCCAAACACCCCTTTTGCACCGATAACATAAACAGAAGAAACGTGAACAGAGAATCTGCAGCGTGAATCACGGAGAGGACAGAGCAAACCTTCTCTACGCCGAACCAAAATAACTACAAGGAAGTGTGTGTGTGTGTGTGTGTGTGTAAACAATGCAACCCCTCTCTCCTTTCTCTCCAATGTAGATGCAGGAGAGTCCATGCAGCAGAAACATTTTCTCGTTTAGAAGTGCAAGAGATGGAGGTCGGAGGAGGGTTGTTCAAAGAAAAAAAGATGAGGAAAAGATGGAATATTAGAGAATAGGGAAATCAAGAAGAATGAGAGAAATTGAATCATATGCTTGATATATAGATTTGGAGGTAGGAGATGTGGACGGATTCTTGAATAGGCTGGATTTAACGTCCATGTTTTTTAGATGAGTTTTGAGCAAATGGAATTGAATTCAATGTGGACTGAAAAGATAATGCTGTAGATAAGAATGGAAGGAGGCGCAGACAGGGTGGAAGGGAGATTGTTTGATCCGTCGATATACTAACTAAACTGCTGCTGAAATTGCAAACTCAGACAATGAACTGAACTGTGATTGTACTCATCAGTTGAGTCGGTTCAAGTCTTCGCCCCAGAGAATTTCACCCCGATATCATTCAAAAGACAGTGGAGCGTTGATCACACATCACAAAAGGTGAAGTCAGTGAGTCTGCCAGAAGGAGGGCGGCCATTGATAAATGTCCTCCAGAAGAGCCAGCACAAAATAAAACCTCTTCACATAAGACAACCTCCTCTTTTTTTTTTTCCTCTAGCAAGGATGAGTGACCTACTTAGTACGCTGAGCTCTCCTGGGCTGAATAGGCCAAGTGAAATTACATTTTCTGTGTCTTCAAGAGCCAATTAACAGAGAAGGAAGCAAGTCTAATGGAGATGTGTGTCTGAAAGGCTTCCTTGTTGCGGCTACGGCCCCGCAGACTGTGAGCAGAGGCAGAACAACGCCACATGTGCTTGTTACTATACACAAGCCTGAGGAACTTCTCATCCGGCATCAAGTATCCTCCATGTTAAATTACATGAATATGACAACTCGTTCTCATAAATCCCTAAACTAAGAAGCTTCAAAAAGTGGGCTCTTCTTCCAATAAGACCTGACATCTCGCATTCATTCCCCCTTCATATTTGTATTCCCGGTCACTTAACACAAGACTGATGTCATTGAGAGCATGTGGTGATTCACCACCAGCAGCACAGCCGAGCGGAGCCTATCGGCTGGCTGCAGCAGCAGCAGGGAGGCTGGGAACCTCTTCAGCACAACCTCAATGCAAGCAGAGTTATTTCTAGCCTTGCCAAGCGTAGGAGGGGGCTGACATGATGGCTTCCTATCGATTTGCACTCTTCTGTAATCGCTCTTGTTCACCGAGTCCAACTCCATCTTCTCATCTTCTCTCCCTTTCTTTTTGTGTGTGCAAGAGACGGAGGAAGGCAAGCTGCTCTACGTATTGGTGGCGGGTCCTAAGACGGTCTCTGTGCCAAGTCCTGGAGGCTGTGTGTCTGGACTACACAGAACTACTATTATGTAAAAATGCCTGTCTCCATGAGCCGTTCCGTTTCTAAACATGCAAACTTCATAGAGTACAGCTGGAGGATTGTCATGAAGCATCCGTACATAATTATTTACACAACTTTATCGTATAAATACACAATCATCTCGGCTTGTTTTTTTTTACTGTGACAAATTAGAGACTGCAGTTAATGTGTTAATACGTAGAAGTATGTTTATTTTCATTATAAGCTATTCTGCTAATGAATGTTTGGTCTAAAAATGTCCACCACAATTTCCCAAATTTCATTTAACTGCTTGTTTTAACCTACTACAGACATTCAGTACCCCCGCACAGCCGGAACGGAACGACCAGATGTTTCCGCCAATGCGATGATTTGACTGCGAGATTTCTGAATACAATGAACAGTATGGACTGGGGACATTTATTCAGACAAAATGAGGACATAAAAGATTGTTGTGGGTGACGTATAAACATGTTGACAGAACACTAGGGGGCGGTACAGGAGTTAGTCAAAGTAGTAGTGTTCTTCTTCTACCTGAAAATGATGCTTTGCAAGTCGAAAGGGTATTCTATGATCCCAGTGGTTGGGATTCGAACCCTAAGCACGTCCTGTTGGGTTGGTAGATAGGACGGTTCAGCAATACGATCCAGATCACTTAGATAGCTAGAGACAGGAAGGACAACAAAAGACAGACAGAGGGGGGGAAAGTGAAGCATAACAGCAGATATAGCACACACCCCCCTCCAAAAAGCAAGTGGATCAGTCCAGATGTAACTGCAAGAAAGCCATTCCCAAGAGTTATGAAGGGATTAGGGGACGTTTTTGTACCTCTACCCGCAAATTGTCTCTTAGAATTGCAGCTTCATCCTTGATGGCAGCTCCCAAAGACAAAACATTCCTCCATTTTCCTCATCTGCTCCCCCTCAAAGTGCTGACTGTGAAGGTTTAAGGAAGCAGGGACTTTTAACTTGACTCCAAAAAGATGATTTAGCGCAAAAGAGAAGCTAACTTTGAAATGAAAATGAATGCCTTTTTAGCGAGACTTGAACGGAGGGTTGGGGCCTGTTCTTGAGGCCGGTCTTTGGGAGCGTACCATCAGGGATGTGTTAAAGTGCTGAGCCCTGTGCAGCACAGGGTAGGCGGGACACAGCGGCATCGGCGGTTTTCAACTGGCTGACCAACTGTGTGGAGCAGCTAGCCAACCAGTGACGTCATCGGGCAGCACTCAACACCAGTACCTGAAGATAATACTCTCCAGGTCAAACGGGTACTCAATGATACCGGTGGTAGGCACTCGAACCCGCAGCACATCCTGCTGAGTGGGCATGAACCCCGCTGACGCTATTCGCTCTAAATCATTAAGGTAACTGTGGAAAGGGAGGGAACATGTGATGAAGATGCAAACCAACCATCTCCACAGTACGAGACCTCATGCACATGTGCAAAGAGCAGACACAAAAACACATACAACAGAAAAACAATATTCAAACAAATGCATATTGCATGAGCCAGTAGTAGCTCTAAAAACTAGGTATACACAAGTAGAAGCTTTCATTTTTTCCCCCAATCCTCAACTTTTTAAGGAGCCATGTTAGTCTGAAATGGATTAATGTAGGTTGGAATTAGCTCGGATATTATTAGGAGTCGTTTATAAATCTGCCAACATTTCCTCTTCCATGACTCTCCCCATGTGCCTCCTCTCTCTTCCCTTCCTCGGGTCGAGTGCATGACACCAGTTAGGAAACTGAAAAAGGGTCTATTAACATCTGGCAACTTTTTTGATGCATCTGTGATTTCATCCCTCATGTCTATACGTTGGAAACCGTTATTAACCAACTACATCACATTAAGTAAATAATCATTCATTCTATCAGATTCAAAGGTCGTAGACGTACTATTTGGTTGAGTCGGAGAGCTGGTACTCTCTCCTGCGATCATAGGCCTCCTGGATGCCAGGGTCAGCCCACAGCATCTTTATCGCACTGGTGTACGGCTGCTCGAATGATGAAATCTTCTCCACGTCCACCTCACGCACCACCTGGGCATTGTTCTGAGAGAACAAGAAACAAAGCACACTTTAAACAACATGTCAATTTATTTTATGTAAGATTCATGAGTGAAATTCACAAGTGATTGCCTCCCAATCTCAAAGTGTCAGGTGCTTTCTTAGCCAATTATTGACTAAAACATCCCGGGGAGTCAAATGTCTTTCTATATTGGCCACATTTACGTCCTCTACAGTGCTATATTCCTCGAAGTAAACATTATAGATACACAGGAGAGGCGGGAGCTAAGCAAACCCAGCTAGGACCTACTCAGCCTACTCCTCGCTGATGTCTGAGCGCAGAAAAATAAGATGGGAGGAAATAAGCCTTCAGGCTCACCCAGTAACAGAGACCTGGCTGCATTGTTGCTTCCCAGATCGGGCTGCACTTGACCTGTGGACCTCAGCACAGAGCGCAGGTCTCTGCCACATCGATGGGCAGGGGGGGGGGGGGGGGGGGGGGGGGGGGGGGGAGTGTTAGAGTTAGGGTATCTGGAACAGCCAGCGGGGCAAATGGGGCT